TTTTCCTCTCTTTCCCTCTCTCCCAGTTGCCTAACTGCCTGTCTATCTCATGTCTAAGAACACCACGACCTATTGGCAATTCAGGCCCCTGAAGGTAAAGGCAACTTAGTGCTAAATCTGGTAATTACATCCACCTTGTCTCTGATGATTATTACATCTTAGCCTCAGTGATTCCATCATCTCCATCAATACTAAAGAGCTCAGTTCAAAAGCCACAACTCCTACCATCAACAGCAGCCAGATGAGCACAACCACCACCAACCAAGCTTCTTAAAGATGCTGGTGCTCTCACCACAGTTCATTGTTTATGGAATATCCACTGGGCCCACACGGGGATTTTAATCAGGTTGTGGATCCTTGGGTATGACATAATAAATCCATTCTAACACTTCCATTTCTCCAGTTTTTCTGGATCCTTCCTCAATACTACGTTAGGAAATTCCAGATTTTTCATTGTATTTGCTATAATTGAGTGTGAAGGTGCTATCCCAGCAAAATATTTTGAGGTAGACATCAGTGTTGTTGCCAGATCATCAAATTCTGAGGCTAGTGTGTGTGTCTCTGTTCAATAAATTCTCCCATATCTAGCTTTATGTTCTGCCTCATGCGGTATAACTCTGACGCTTTACTCTCACATTTGCTTCTTAGGTTTCTGCCATTACTTATTAGTCAGGTCTGTCAATTCCTCTGGTACATAAACTATTTTCTACTGGAGATGGATTAAACTTTTCTACTCAGGTTGTCCTAAGGCCTAACTCTAGCTAATGAAGGCAGGTGGGTGGACCATGAGGGAAATGATCATCTTGAGAGGTGCTTATCCCAGATTATGTCATTGTATAGTCTCCTATGTATGGCTAGGAGAAGGGGGTTTCTTCTGCAAGCCTGGAAGTTTCAGAAGAATGTGGGAGTTCAATAATTTCAGCTGTGTTTGACCAAATAATCCTGTTTCAGGTCCCAATATCCCATCCCTTTCCTATTAAGCCACTAATATTAGCATAAGGGCCTTGTGAGTCTGTGCATTCAGGAAGCATCAGAGCTCTGCCATCTTTGCACAAGATCCTGTCCTGATTTTCAGCACAATCTGCCATGACGCAACAGGAGATGAGAGTTTCCTTAAAAACTTCCCTGGAAGCCCTCTAGATTTCACATTGTTCCTTGTTTTGGCATTTGGCTGGCCTAAGCTTAGCATTTTATTTTTCAGTATCTCTAGTCCTATTAAGAGAAGTCAGTCCATACACTCTTTATAAATATTGTTGACTCCATTATTTTTAAAATCACAACGATCATATATTCCAATGCTTCTCCTTTCACCTGCACTTTATTCCAGTTTAACAAAGGTGAAAATCTTAATATTGATGGTGCCATTGCTAACAAGAAATTTTTCCTATCCTACCTACCACTAGAATTGAAATCCTCACTTGTCAGACTAATAAATAGGCCAGCTCTAAGATCCCATCTTTATGGTCTACTTTCTAAGAACATCCCTGTTATCAACTGCCTTGCCCTGAGATCTCCAGAAAACAAAGCCTAAGGAAGGGAGAAAAGCCAATACAAAGATGAGTTACCATGCTGGCCACTGCTTGGTATGTAGTATAGCTGTTTCCTCATCCATGTTGCATTATTTTCAAAAAGTTACATAAATGAGCAAATATTAGGGCCTTTTATCCAGGAAAAGGAAGGTAAAGAATTTATCCAACCTTAAGATTCCATCTTTATGGTCTACTTTTTAAGAACACCCCTATTATCAACTGCCTTGCCCTGAGGTCTCCAGGAAACAAAGCCTAAGGAAGGGAGAAAAGCCAATACAAAGATAGGTTATCATGCTAGCCACTGCTTAGTATCTACATAGTATAGCTGTTTGCTCATCCATGTTGCATTATTTTCAAAAAGTTACATAAATGAACAAATATTAGGGCCTTTTATCCAGGAAATAGAAGGTAAAAAATTTATCCAATCTCTCTTGCCTCCCATAGACTAAAGTCACACCCCTTAGGAAATTAATTCCCTTTTACACCTGGGTTACACATGAATGAAGGGGCCAGGAAGATTGTGCACCTCATACCTCAGCATCAACATGAAAGCCTAAGACAGGTGGCAAGAGATATAGAGCATGGGCATGAGGCAAGATATCATGAATTGTGCCTGCAAGAAGTTGATTAGTGTTCATGCAGAATGTTAGTTTGTCTGAAGCAAGTGACCAAATGTCCAAAGGTAGATGAAGCCAAGAGATTTAACATGACACATATTTAAAATTTTAATTTCAATTAAGTTTCTGGAAGGAACACATAATTGAACTTACTTTGTATTTAGTTCTGATGTCCTTCACCTATTGATATTGAAACCATTTATACTAACTATAATAACAGAATTTACATTAACCTCTGAGTTGTATACTTTGTGCTATTTCACTCTTTGTTTTCAGTAACTCGCAACATGCACTTTGCTTTGTTGACTAATGTATTCAGTAGTAGTTTTAAAAGATGCAGCATTTTAAAATTTTGATCTGGGCTTACTTTATATTCTTCAATAGAGTTCCTGATTATACAATTTTTCTAGCTTCAAATATAATGAGGAAATGTAACTTTTAACCTCAATCTATGTAAAACAAGAAATTTAATGTATTTTTACTGCCCCGCCCCTACACTTACAGATCGTTCTTAATTTAATATGAGATACAGATTATATGTTAGAGGTATAGATTATTATTCTTTAATTATTTTGTATAATTACATTCTTTTTAAAGTGACATTTACTATGCTGTATTAAATTATGTTAACATTTGTACAGAAATTAATTGGATTCACACATAAGAAGACTCACCATAAGAACATTTATTGCAAATTTTTCATTTTTTATTTCTCAATTTCAATTAAGTTTTGATCCTCCAGAATATGTGTTTGCGTAAACTTTTCCAGAGTATGTGTCAGTGTCATAATTTATAAAATCCTTGCATATCAGAAAATAAAAAGAATTCATTTGCAGGCCTTGTTGACCTGCAGAAAAAGAAAAAAAGAAAAATCTTTGTAAACATTTCACCATTATCTTTTTGTACTTGGTGTTGCAAAGATTTAATTTTAAAGCCAGTCCAGAATTCATGTGAGGTTTCCCATATTTTTTCTGATCTCTAGGTAACCTACATATTTTGCAGCCCACTTTTTAATAAAATAATTTCTTTATCCTTAATATTTCAAAAAAATTATCAGGATATTTATGTTACTAAATATTTTTAATTATGTTGCCTGCTTCATTTCAGTTCCAGACATTTTAAAATAATTTATTCTGCTTCTTATTGTAAAATCATTTTGATAAGTGTTTTAGGGTAATTCTTCCCTTTTCCTAAGATGAAGAATATTTTTCTTAAGTCAATTTGTTTGCATTTATATTTTTTATTCAGAGTAGGTCTAAAAGGGGAAGGCAAGTTAATGTACATAATTTTAAGCACAATTTCTACCTTTTAACAGGCTTGACTATAAAAAGGGATCTTAATCTGTTGCCTGGTTCTCTGTCTTCTAAAATGATAATTTATTTCTCAATTATTCAGGCTGTTTTTACTTAATTTTTTTTTCTGTAGCAGTAGTTCATAATATTATATACCTCCCAAGCATTGCTTATAAGCATTCTCCTTACCTACAATTGACACCACATTGCAAGTTTTGATGCATCTTTTTTTTCCCCCAACCCCTCTCTCTTCATATTATTTTACTAGGAACTGAATTTTCTGAGTGTTTGATGGCTATGGGTATACAGAGGGTAGTAAAATCTAAGAAGGCAATGTCCCTGGCTATCACTAAAAGTAAATTATATTTCAGGAAATGGATGGCTGTTCAAATTGGTGGTTGGCAAAATCCCTTCCTCTAAGTACTAAGGATGGGTAGTGGGTATGAATTGCAGCCTCACTCAGTTTTCTTCCTCCTAGGCACTGCTCACATTTGATGGGCAAAAGTAAGTACAGGCCTCCAATTGTTTCTCAGTCCAGACAGTTCCCATGGAAACAGCTTCCAGACTGAGAAACAGTTGTTTTCCTTCTTTTCAAGTACTGTTTTTGACTTAGTAAACTTTTCATCTTCCTTCATTTTAATGGGAGGTTGAGAGAGTGTATTTCAGAGGAGGCTTATGTGATGTTTAAAGTGATTATTTTTATTCTCAGAGCAAATAGCATATGCATCAATAATGACTTTGAACAACAAAATGTCACCATAGGGCTTAAGTTACTATTAATATGTGATATGGTTACACTACTTTTCCCCCTAACTTAAAGATTGCTACATATACTAAATTGTTCTCAATACTTAGAGGGGCTGAGTGACAACCAGGGTGGAAGTCCAGAAGTCAGACAGGACATTGATTGACTCTATAAGGAAATAGCTTCTACAGGATATTTTACCCACAGATAAAGTCAGGGAGTCAGAATACACACACACACACACACACACACACACACACACACACACACAATCTAACCTCCAGTGATGATAAGCTTAAGATAAAGAAATCATTAAATTATTTTCAATAGGATATATTAGGATCCATAGTAGAATTTGGGTGGGGAAATTTAAAGGAGTTAGAGATAACTAGCATTGAGTGACCCAGAAAATCCATGGTCCCTTCAGGCACCTTGAGTACACATGCATGTATACATACATGTACACACACACACACACATTCACACTCATAGTGAGAAAATAATAAGATTCATCTGCATTCTTCATAAAATTTAAAAGTATAAATATATTTGATAGTTTGCTTTGGTAACTAACAATAGTAAAAGATCATCTTCAAAATCACAGTGAAATAAAGAACTCTAATTTTTTCTGAGAGTTGATTGAGTTAGGTTTCTGTGAGCTGCTCAGATTAATCCTTTAAAATGGATACTCTTACCAATTTAATGGATATTGTATGAATTGTGATATATTTAAGTGCATGAAATAGAAGTCCAGTTCTGTGGCTTAACCTTATCATGGCATTTTTTTTTCATTAAAAAAAAAAATGAAAACAGGAAATCTAGGCCCATTCTTTTTTATTGCTCCATCATCCTTATAGAGAAGCTTTTATCTTCATGCTTGTCAAATCATGGTGGCAAGATAGTTTCTCCTTCAGCTGTACTGTAGGCTGGAGAAAGAGAAAGGGACAAAAGGGGTGTCTATATTAGAAAAGCAAAAATATTCTCAAATGTCCCTAGTGGGTCATGCCTATATCTCAATGCCTACACTTATGGTACATGGCCACCCCTGGTGGGAAGGGAGTCAGGGAAGGTGAATGTTTGGAATATTTGTCTATACCAATACTAATATCTTTTGGACAACATTTAAATTCTAAATAATTGTAGGATCTATAGCCTAATATTTCTTTTTCTTTCTTTCTATTTAATTTTTTTTTTTTTTTTTTTTTTAGAGACAGAGTATTATGGTCTTGCTTTGTCACCCAGGCTGCAGTGCAGTAGTGTGATTTTAGCTCACTGCAGACTTGAACTTCTGGCTTCAAGTGATCCTCCTGCCATGGCCTCCCAAAGTGCTGAGATTATAGGTGTGAGCCATCACAGCCCGCCTTCAAATAACATTTTTTTTTAATGCCCACATACTGATAGTAGAATACTGTCTTTAAGCTAACCCTGGAACATTCATTCAAGAAAATCTATTGTGTTTTTGTATGTCTCTGCTAGCCTTAATAACTAAAAGTCAGTATTTGACCCATGTGTGGTGACTCACCCCTATAATTCCAGTGCTTTGAGAGGCTGAGGTGGGAGGATCACTTGAGGCCAGAATTTTGAGAATAGTGAGATGCTTTCTCTACAAAAAATTAAAAATTAGCCAGGCGTGGTGATACTACCTGTAGTCTCAGCTACTGAGGAGGCTGAGATAGGAGGATTGCTTGGGACCAGGAGTTAGAGACTGCAGTGAGCTATGATTGCCCCACTACACTCCAGCCTGGGTAATACAGTCATACCCTGTCTCAAATAAATAAATACATACATAAATAAATAAAATAAATCTTTAATTTTTTTTAAATTCAGTATTTGATAGATTAATTTTTAAGGCCTTAAAATTATCACCTCTTAAGAAATATTTTTCTACATTTATAAAAATAATATATTTCTTAATTGTATTCTATCTTCTACTAAAATGCAAATCTTAGGTTCTCTGTATTTCTCAAAATCAGTCTTTAGTATTGATAATTAAGATGGACAGATTTTTTTAATGACATTTAGGTGGCAGGAAAAGAGTAAAGAGACTGAAAGATCTGTTTTAATGTTCGTCTAAGTGGTACTCAGATGAGAACACTGTACAATTTCTGAATGCAAATTTAATACTAATTCATATCTAATGTAATGCAGTATTACAGATTTACATCTAATTTCAAATCCTCTGTGAATTCAATTAGAATTAATTCTATCTCATCTTACACATCTTATTGAACACATTTTTCAAATATAATTCTGATCCTGTTGATTTGAAATAATTTGTGTTTCATAAACATTTACAGGCAAGGATGATAGGATATCAAATATACATCATGTGACACAGGGGGTTTAAATAAAATAAGATTTTCTCCAATCATAAAGGAAAACATGTAGCATCTTGCATATAAAAATTTTACCTTTATTTGCTTGCAGCTAAAGTATTTAGTAAGAAAGTATATATAGAAATTCAACCAAGAGAATTAAGCAAATAAGAATTTTAAAAATATAAGAAAACTCTGCAAAAGATAACATGTTCCATATGATACATGCACATATATAAATGTATAGTTTTAGAGATGTGCTATATGGACATATAAACATATGATGGTATTTTGAAGAAGCAGAACATTCTTTCAAAATGAAATCACTAAGCAACTCTGTTTTCTCTCCCAATGCCCCTTGAAATCTGCTCTAAAGGGTAATTCTTCTCTTCCCCTGAATAAAAAAAATCATGGTCAGTCTGCCATCACTATCTTAAACAATAAAAATCCTCCTGGTACTTTAGTTACTTAAACTGTTCCAGTTTTGAAACTGATAGATGTACCCAGAGCTATAATAAAACAAGTTTCATTCAAAATTAAAGCTTTTGCACTTGCCTAATCAGCCATGCTACAGAAGGCAGGCCTGTGGTATGAAACTAGGGCCTGTATAGATAGTCCTGTATTTTCCCAACTTACCTTTCTTCCTCTCCTCAATTGTTAATTTGCACTGTTTTTGACCACATACAGATTTAAGATCAGGCAGGCAAGAGATGTGAGGGCACAGGAAAGCTCCTGCTTGGTAGTACTTTTGTGAACTGGCATTGCTGCAGCCTGGGTTTGGCAGGTGTCAAAGCTGACACTTGGGCTTCTTTCCCTTGTAGAGTGTTTCAGTTCTTTGCAGGGTTCTTCAGACCATGCATTCCTCTCCCATTCTTTGCAAGGGATCCCTTGCCTGCACTTCACTGACAGTGATTTGAGTCTCAGCAGTCTCTCTCTCCTTAGATTGTTTCAGTTGGGATTCCACTGCCTTTTATGAATCCTTTGGACCAAATCCATTTGAGACGACTCCAGGCAAGCTTTCACCCACATATCTGTAGTCTGCACCTTCTGTATGTATCTTTGGGCTACTTTCAATTATAGTTTAAGTTACTTTTTAAAATAAACTATGTTGTTGTCATAACTGCTATTCTTCAGTTATATGCTATTCTTCAGATTTAATTAATAAAATCAAAATTAAAAGTAGAATCATAGTTTTTTAGTTTTGCAATCATGAAAACAAAACTTTAAAAAAAACTATTAACATCATACATAGTGGACAAATTTTGTCGATGTTGAAGACATTGGGGATCACCAGAATAAGCTAATATCCTTCTTTTACAGATGAATAAAGCAAAAAATCAATTTATTTAATAGCAAAAGTTGTTACTGGCCAGAGGCATAGCAAAGCCTTATTATATAATGCATTCAAAAGACCTTGGGGTCTGAAGTAAAACCTAAATGGCTTTGAGCCCTATCTCTACTATGTATTAGTTATAAAAAGTTGGCCAAGTTTAAAAGGTATGTAATTCTCAGTTTATTCTATGAAATGGGGATAATAATAGCTATAAGCAATTATATTATTTTAATGATTAAATGAAATGCAATTCATATTGCGTATGTTGCATAGTACTTCTAAATAATTTCTATTTTTATTTTCATTCTAACACTCATTAAATTTTAATTTTTTATTTTTATTATTATTATTCTGGTTTTAGAGACAAGGTCTTACTATGTTGCCCAGGCTGGAGTGCAGTAGTTATTCACAGGTGGGACTCACTACTGATCAGCATAGGAATTTTGAACTGCTAGGTGTCCAATTTGGGCTGGTTCAGCCCTCCTTAAGCAATCTGGTGGCCCTTGCTCCAGCGAGGTCACTATATTGATGCTGAACTTAGTGCAGACACCCAATAGGCATAGTGTACTACAGCCCAGAACTTTTGGGCTCAAGTCTCAATGTCAGCCTTCCAAGTAGCTGGGACCTCAGGTGTGTGCCACCATGCCCAGAAAATTATTAATTTTTATTATGGCATATTATGATGTTTTATTATTTTTTATTTTTATCACAATAAAATTACTATAATTTTATTATTATATATTTATATTATTTTTAAAATTATAGCTTCAGATATTTATTTTCTTTTTATTTCTGAAGTTAAAATAACATTTATGAACATATACATGTAAGTCATAAATATTACACTTTTTCAGGTTATTAAATTATTATAATGCAATAGTTAGCAAGTGTATATATGATACAATATTAAAATGGGAATCTTTGTTTTGTTATGCTATAAAAAACAAACTCTAAACTATTAAACAATGCTTTATTTTTTAGATTAAGCAAATAAACCAGTAAAAATGGGCTTCTACTTCTATTGAATTTACATTTAGGATTAGTAAAGCAAGTAGAGTAGCAATTTTAATGTAATGGGGGCCAGATAGATCATTAGAGAAAAGTACTCCATGTCCAGTGACATCCTGGGAGAAAACTCTAAGGATTAGGATATATAGTCACACAGCTTTTTATATTGCAAATCTTGATTATTTAGATCTTCATAACTCCTCATCTTCTGTGAGCAAGTTATCCATGCTGGTAGCAAAGCAATAGTCCAGCTATTGCTAAATGGAATCACCAGCATCATATTTGTAGCTGCTGTGTATTCATCCAAAGGGAAGACATTAGTATTGTTCCCACATAGATAGTGTCACTACTTCTTTCTTTGTTTATATCCCCTTTTAAATATGCATTTATTTCAAGATTCTGAATGCTTACTTTGATTTTTCCATGTGGGTAGAAGTGTTGGCAGGGTTAGAATGAGTTTTTTTTTTCCCCCTCCGATCTTATTTTTCTACTGCAACACAAATCCAAAACAACACTGAAAGGGTCTACTATAAAATATCTAGATCACAGCTCTAGATAATATCTCCCTCCAATATCTAGGATTCTAAGATACATTATGTTTATTAATGGAACCTATTTAGGATTGTTCTATTCAAGACTAATATTATTACTATCTAGGCCCACTGTATGTAGAAAACAAATATTTTCCTTCAAATATATGAAAATTAAAGGGAATTGTGATGTTAATTGGAAGCATTAGCATAAACTCATGGTTTTTGATATGTTTAAATGTATTTAATATATTACACATAAATACATTTGAAATATCTCTCTCCATATTTCCTTGCTCTGTCTACTGAAAAGGCCTCGATGCAATGGCCCACCAAGAGCAATATATAAAAAAAATATCCAAATCTTGGTTTCTCAATATCATTTATCACTAAAAAGAACCAGGGCTTTTTGCAGGAAAGGGGCCAAATCTGGGACAATGTGATCATCAAAATAAATAATGTTAGTAGTAGATTCTAACCTACTAAATTAAATAAGAATCTAGGAGTCCAAACTGATATAAACTTTAAAAATAAATAAAGGGACTAATATTAAAGGGTCATGCATTTATGCATTAATTTAGTTTATTCAGTAAATTGTATCATGCCATGTACTACCAATGACTTCAAGAAGAACTTGTATGGTATAAGCCTCTCCCTGTCTATAGACAAAGCCTAGAATAAATGTCATTCACTTAGACACTGAGCAAGTGCCAACTGGAAATGCTGTGGGCAAAAATGAA